TTAAAATGCAAATCCAAACATAGCAATAACAAAATATTTTAGTATTATCACTTGACTGCAAAACTTTTTAAATGAGAAAAATCAGCTTTGCTATGTTATTTTTCTGCTTTACTATACAAACATTAATTTTTTGTTCTTGTAATAATTATAAAAGCATTTACATGCATTTCTATGTATCTATGCAATAATTATAAAGATATTTACATGCATTTCTATATAAATCACACAGGGTTATTTCTGCAAATAATTACCATTCCTACTCTTATGACTCACATTTCTAGTCAAATTCATTTGTACTTAAAAATGCCCTTCCTTAACATCCTATAGTATTCCTGATTATCATATTCTAGTTTTCTGATAAGAGCGAAGAAAAGAACAAAGTACATATTGTGTTAATAATTAAGGACCAGGGCAATTCTTAACGTATTGAAACTTTTCAAATAAAATTTATGATAAAATAAGTGAGTTAAAATTATCAGCACATGGTTTTTGCATAACGCAAGCAATTCTTCTACATAGGAGCTTTCCTGGGGACCTTTTAAACTGATCCTTACTATTCAAAAAGGTTTAGTAAGTACAAGAATATTCTTTTGAAGATGTCCAATAATTTGGTATATTGTTTAAAAAAATATTTTCATTGCTGATTCTATAAAAATATTTGAGATTCCTCAAAGGACAAAAGTAGTTAAAGGAGAATAGAAAGCTTAAGGAAAAATGAAAAATTTAACACAATAATAAAAACATTGAAAAACATTTATGTATTTTAAAACTTGTGAATTTTGTGCAAGTTTGTCTTAATATTATTGGGTGCCGTAAAATATCTTAATAGCCAATGTATTACAATAATGTTGAGACAGGAAATTCCTGACATATCATCTATCCGTTCTAGATGATCAGTTTTATACCAGCTGACAAAACCTTCCATTTGACAAATATTTGCTAAGCATCTAGCAATATGACAAGCACTCTGTGAGTATTAAAATTACAAACAGGAATCAAACGGTTCATACCCTTGAGGAGCTTAGAGCGTACAGGAAGAAGGTAGTGAGGGAAACACATCTTTTTTCATGGAATGTGACTAGTTCTTTGAGGTGGGAGGTAGCTCAGATGAGGGAAATCTTTGGGGCAAAGTGACATCCAAGAGTTGAGTAAGAGTTGGCTCTTCAAGTAAAGGGCAAAGAATAGAGCGACAGGTGGTTGTTGTTGTTAAGTGCCGTCGAGACGGTTCCGACCCATAGCGACCCTGTACAGGGTTTCTGAGGGTGTAAATCTTTAAAGGGACCAAATTAAGCCATAATGTTGAATTGCGCAGTGGTTTAATGTGTGCCAGGACACTGCCATCTGGTCAGTACTATAGCTGTCTTGAGTGGAGGACATTGTACAGGCAGCCATGGGCTGGGCTACATCACAGACGGTCGCTGAGTGCCATGCTAAGGAGACTGCACTGTGTCTCTCAGGTGAAGAAGGACCACTGCAGAGCTAAGTGTGGAAATGACAGATTGGCATTTCAGACATAGGACATTCTCATGGCATTGAGAGCAGTTCTAGAGGAGGTGGTGGGAAGGCCTAGATACAGTTGCATGCCACTTAGTAAATAAACTATTATAGTAGGCAGGGGAAAGACACTGATGATTCAAAGTAGGATAGTGAATGTAGATTAAAAGGAGGGGCACATTCAAGACTTATTTGGAAGTCAAAATCAGAAGAATTTAGGAACTGATTTGTAACCAGTGATGAAAAGAGAAGTCAAGAAATGATGCAGGCTTATGGCTTTGGTGACAGCAGGCTGATGGTGCTATCAAATCAGGCTATATAAGAAGTGAGTAGTAATAAGTTTTGGAGGGAAGCCGACTAAAGAGTATCTTGTTCTAGAAAAGCTAGCAAGTGAAATTCAGTATAAATGCTGAGATAATTGATTTAACTTATAAATTTATAAGTAAAATTATAAAAGTAAAATATGTTAATATTAAATTTATTTTAATTTAGTGCTTAAAGCAGACGTAATCTATTGTTTTGGGGGGTTTTTAAAAAGTTTTTGTGTGTGTGTGTGTGTGTGAACTGAGTGATACTTTACATGGGAGAACATCAGCTTTACACTATTGTTTCATTGCAATAATTACAATCTCCTCTGTGCGTCATCATTCAGCCGTATTTGCTTCCATCCCCTCTGTTTTTTGTTTGCTTTTTTTTTTTGGGGGGGTGATGTACACAAAAACACTAAGGAATATATAAAAGTAGATGTAATTTTAAGAAGCACAAATGTGTTTTTGTAAAGATTGTAACTTTTTTTTATTCGTTTCAGTTGACATCTGACTAAATTTTCATATTTTAAGAACTATTTTTAACATAAAAGTCCCATTGTTTTATTTGGAGTTGAACGAGTAAGTCAACTCCCTAGGGTAAGAATTTGATCTTTCCTGTGAAAATACAAACTCCTGCACACAAACTTGTGACAGCGCAGTGAGGACTGGTGAGGATAAACTCCAATGTAGCTCCCATTTAAGAGTTTCAAAGAATGCCAACTTCAGGTTCACATGAGGTACAGGAACAATCTGTTTCTTAGTGAAAGAACAAAACATGTGCTGGATAAGCTGTTTCCCTTCAAGATGTATTAAAATGAGTTTCTAACAGCCTGTGATATTTTTGCCATCTAGATTGGTGCCATGGCTTTGGAACACAACCAGTCCACAGACTACTACTATGAGGAAAATGAAATGAACAGCACTCATGACTACAGCCAGTATGAAGTGATCTGTATAAAAGAAGAGGTCAGAAATTTTGCTAAAGTGTTCCTGCCTGCCTTCTTCACTGTAGCTTTCATCCTTGGACTTGCAGGAAATTCCATAGTAGTAGCTATTTATGCGTATTACAAGAAACAGAGAACCAAAACAGATGTGTACATCCTGAATTTAGCTGTGGCAGATTTACTCCTTCTATTCACTCTGCCTTTCTGGGCAGTTAATGCCGTTCATGGGTGGGTTTTAGGGAAAATGATGTGCAAAGTAACTTCAGCCTTGTACACAGTGAACTTTGTCTCTGGAATGCACTTTCTGGCTTGTATCAGCATAGACAGATATTTAGCAGTGACTAAAACCCCAAGTCAGTCAAGAGTGGGGAGACCATGCTGGATCATCTGTTCCTGTGTCTGGCTGGCTGCCATTTTGCTGAGCATACCCCAGCTGGTTTTTAATACAGTCAATATCAAGGCTAGATGCATTCCCATCTTTTCACACCACCTAGGGACATCAATGAAAGCAGCGATTCAAATGCTGGAAATCTGCATCGGGTTTGTAGTGCCCTTTCTTATTATGGGAGTCTGCTACTTCATCATGGCGAGGACACTCATCAAGACACCAAACATTAAAAAATCCAGGCCCCTCAAAGTTCTGCTCACAGTGGTTGTAGTTTTCATTGTCACTCAGCTGCCTTATAATATTGTCAAGTTTTGCCAAGCCATAGACGTCATCTACTCCTTGATCACCGACTGCGACATGAGCAAACGCATTGATATTGCCATCCAAGTCACAGAGAGCATCGCGCTCTTCCACAGCTGCCTCAACCCAATCCTTTATGTTTTCATGGGAGCCTCTTTTAAAAACTACATTACCAAAGTGGCCAAGACATATGGGTACTGGAGAAGACGGAGACAAAATGTGGAGGAGATTCCTTTTGATTCTGAAGATCCTACAGAGCCAACCAGTAGTTTAAGCATTTAAATCTAAAACTACTGTTTCTTACTTGGCTACACATGAATGATGCTTCTCCCTCAGATAGAACATCTGCATTATTCTGAAACTCAAATCTCAGCCACTGTGGTTACAACTTACAGCAAAGAAGCAGTGGGAGGGTGGTGAGAGGAAACCCAGAGAAGACAGAGATTACAAATGTATATAAATAAAATTAAACAATATAGGAAAATTGGTATAGCAAGCATGCATAAACAAAAACACTATACTATAGGCTAAGCCATCTAAAATAGATTAATGAAGAGACTTATGTTAAGAGGTATTTATAACTATTTTTTCACTATCTAAATGTTAATATAAGAACTATTTCCTTGCATTGTTTCAGTACTGTAACTGCACAGCAAAGATTAACCCTTTTTTCAGTGACTGAATTTGTGATTTCATAAAACCCCAGATTAATAATAAAAAACAAAAAAAAAATACAATAGCCTTTTCCCCGACTTTTTGATACATCCTTTTGAAATTCTAAAGACTCTCTTTCCATTGTATCAACTTTCTTTAGTGATAATTAGTTATTCTGATAAATGTTAGTTTTGCATTTACGTATTAGAATGAATCCTCAGATTATCATATTTACTTAGGTTCTAACTTTTATAATATCCCAAAGGGCTCATGCATTTATGTGATTCTATTATTGAGTACTGACTAAATAGTATAGTAGCCTACGTGTAAAGCATCTTAATTTTCATTCAGAAACTTGTATTTTTAACAGTGAAAATACTACCACAGTAAGTTTTTATTAATGTGTATAACTGACTTCTTAAAAAAGCAAATATAAATTATTATAATTCATGTACTATTTGAATTAAGTTTAAATAGAAATTACATTAATTAAAAATAGTACACACTAATATAAATTTGATCTCTTACAAAATTAAAAAAAAAAAAATGCATTCTCTGCTCTGAAAAGAAAAATCTCCTAATCAAGGAGTCCTGGTATGGCACTGTGGGATGATAATGCACTGGACCACAAAGTTGGTTTGAGCTGCAAGATCGGCAGTTCAAATTCCTCAGTCACTCCGTGGAAACACTATACAGGGTCACTATGAGTTGGAACTGACTTAATGGCACTTAACCACAGCAATCAAGATGTTATTTTAAAATTACTTTCCTACATTTGAAAATGCTTTCAGAAGCAGATTTAAAGAATTGTGATAATAAATCTAATAACTGCGCATTGTAGCATTCTTCTAGCATAGCATCTGGCACAAAGACTGGGTCTGTTGAGTTAAAAATATTATTCTTAACACTTACCACTGCTCCACCATTTTTTGCCATTAATTACATAGCTATCACCATCTTTCTGGATGCTACATTCAATATTGGTGGCATCACTTGAAGCGACATCAGGCTCTATAAATAAGCAAAGGATGAATTTACCAGCAGGCAGCTATCAGCAGTTCGCAAAAGGAGACCTGGATAAGGGAATGTGAACTTTCTGAGGTCAAAGGCATTTATGTCTTATTCATTTTCCTATCCTTCCCTCATTCTATCCTGGTCCTCCATGATCTGCACATGGTATATATTCAATAAGTGTGCATCCAAAGAATAAATGAATTATTCCAGAACAGTGGGTGTCAGCATTCTGTTGCGTTGTATTCTTGGCTTCCTCTTTGATATGTGACTTAGTGTACAGCTCACTCAATCCTTTCTCCAGTCATCAAAAGTAGATAAAAATCATTCTTCTCTACTTTCCACAATGGAAACTTGTACCAAATATTGGCGAGTTAGAGTTCTTCATGTGTAGTTGACTACCTTAAACAATTTCTAATGATGCTATGTAAATTTCATCAGGAATTCTTTCATCAGTCTACATACTTTGTGCTCTTTAAAGCCTGCTCAGTACTTACCATCTTCAGAAAGTTTGCCGTGAGACACCTTAAATGACTACTATCGTGCCTGACATTTCAGTACTTATAGGCTAGTTCTGCATCATAGTAATCTTCACTTGTAAATATGTTGCTCTTTTAACTTTTAGATATTTCATGTGCTCTATATCATGTATTCTATCTCTATTTCTAACACTAGACGCCCAGAGAGGAGGACAGAGGGTAAAACAAAACAAAGATTGAGACCCATTTCCTTGACAAAGGGACTGTGTATGTATTTCATGGTTTCCAGTTACTGTTTTGTAGATGCCACATCATACCACGCATGTTCAATAAATGATTTGGACTTACCTGTAGTCCTGGTGTGGCACTGTAGGGGAAGTGCAGGACCATAAGGTCAGTTTGAACCACAAAGTCGGTGGTTCAAACTCGCCTGTCACTCCTTGGAAACCCATACTGGGTTGCTATGAGTTGGAACCAACTCTATGGCACTTAACAACAACAACTGACTTACATGGAAATCAAAAAGTCAATGCATATATCAAAAAGTCCATGGCCATCAGGTTGATTCTGACTCCTAGTGCCCCTGTAGGACAGAGGAGAGCTGCCCCATAGGGTTTTCAAGGCTGTAAATCTGTGGAAACAAACTGCCACATCTTTCTCCTACTGAGAGGCTGGTAGCTTCAAACCGATGACTTCCTCCCATGTAGCAGTCATGCATGTAACCTTGTGTTACCAGGGCTCATTTATTCAATATCATATGTAACATCATGGTGGTGGTGGTTGTGTGCCGTGGAGTCGTTTCCAACTCATAGTGACCTTGTAAAGGGTTTTCAAGGCTGTACAGAACACCTCATTCTTCTGCCAAGGAATGGCTGAAAGATTCAAACTACTGACCTTGTGGTCTGCAGCCCATTTCATAATACATTATGCTTCCAGGACTCCTTATATAACATCGTAGAACGCAGTAATTTGGGTATTATTGAAAACACTTAAAAATTATTGCCAAGGGCTGATGAAAATGTTCTATATCTTGATTATTGATGTTGTTAAGTGCTGTTGAGTCAGTCTGGCTCAAACAGGGTGACTGTATAGGGTTTCCAAGGAGCAGCTGGTGGGTTTGAACCACCAACCTTTCGGTTAGCATTCCAGTGTTTATCCTACAGTGCCACACCAGGACTCCATATCTTGACTGTTGATGTTAAGTGCCATCGAGTTGGTTCTAACTCACAACGACCTTATATAGAGTTTCTGAAGAGTGGCTGGTGATCTTGAACCTCCAGCCTTGTGGTTCAAACTGACTTTGCAGTCCAGTGCATTAACCCACAGCACCACACCAGAACTCCATCTTGACTGATGTTGTTGTTAAGCGCCATCAAGTTGGTTCTGACCCTTAGCAGCCCTCTATAGGGTTTCTGAGGAGCAGATGGGGAGCTTGAACTACCGACCTTGCAGTTCAAATGGCTTTGCAGTCTGGCACATTAACCCACAGTGCTGACTGCAATAGTGGTTAAATGGGCATGTACATGAGTGAGATTTATCTGTACAGTCAAATGGGCACATTTTATTTATCTGTAAATTATATCTCAATGAAATTGATCTTTAAAAGAAAAAATATATGGTCAGATAAAATACCTTCTAATTCTAAACTCATTTATGAAGCAATGATGTTGACCATTGTAGAGTTATTATTGTATGAATGATTCTAAAGGCGGTTTTGTTAACATATTTAAGCTTTATTTTTCCACGTAATTATATTTGAGCCATGTGGCCAACTTTGGTGAATGCTCTATTTGTATGGTTTTACAGAAGAGTTGATTATTTTGTAAATATAAAAATTATGAGGGTAAGTAAAAAATTCTCTGCACTCCGGTGAAACGGAAACGCATGTTCATGGCTGATGACAACATTGAGCGTGCACATGAAATGATTCTGTTGAATAGATGAGTAACAGTGAATTATGTGGCAAGTCATTTACCATGGCATAAATCCGCCATGGCTCTGCTATGAAACAATCCACGACAGACTTGGCTTTAGAAAAGTTCGCGTCAGATGGGTACTGAAACAGTCATGGAAGAACATAAACAGAAGCATTTGGACATCTGCAAACAAAATTTGAACCAATACTCCAAGGAAGGTAAAAGTTTCTTAAACAAATCATTACTGGTGAGGAGACATGGATGTATCACTACAAGCCTGAGAGTCAGTGACAGAGTATGGAAACATACTCAATCACCAACTAAGAAAAGGCTGAAAAGCCAACCCTCAGCTGGAAAATTGATGTTAATGGTTTTCTGGGATTCTCAGGGGAACACTATCAGGAAAAAGATTCAACAATCAGTACTTTTATAGGAGATGCTCACTGAAAAGCTGAAGCCTAAACTTTGGATTTAATGCACAGGATTGTTGTTAGCTAAGGGTGTTGTGATTTTGCATTGCAGTGCATGTCCACACACCTCTGCCCACACTGTTGACATGCTGCAAAAACTTTGTTTTGAGGTGTTAAAGCATCCTCCCTATAGTCCTGATCTTGTTCCACTGGACTGTCACCTGCTTGGTATCTTAAAAGAAGCCCTTTGAAGTCAAAGATTCACCTCTGATGAAGAAGTAAAAACAGCAGTGCATTCTTGGCTCACAGCTTGGCCTAAAGCATTTTTTAATAAGGGAATACGGAAGTTTGTTGGCAGATGGACAAAGTGTATTGAAAAGCAAGGAGAAAATGTCAAAAATGATGTATTTGTCTTTTCTAAAAGTTGGCTAAAATAAATTCTACAGCCAGAGTGTGAGTAATTTTTGACTCTTCCTCATATTACAAAGATAAATATTCTATATACAGGTCAAAAAAAAAATTTTTTTAAATATCCATAGATGGCTATTTTTGAAATGCAAGTCAAGAGATTATGAAACTAATTTTACCCTGCTCTTATAATACCTAAAGCAAACTCTTGGAAAACATCTACTTGTTTGTCTTCCCCAAGTGAATGATTGCATTCTGCACATTTTTAAATGCCAAAGTTACAAAAACTGGGCTCACAGCAAACATATTCACATTCTAGACACAGACAGTTTTGCTGAAAACACAAAGTCACATGCCAAGGCTGCTGGGCACATCCATACTAACTCCTGGGTAACTGACGCCCCCAAGGGGAGAGAGGAGGTTTACTATTTACCTGTCATACAGAAGCAGGAGGTAATGGTTCCTTGAAGAAGAGGTTCAAGCCACTGCTGCTTCTGTTCTTCACTTCCATATAGGTACAGCACCTCCATGTTCCCTGTGTCTAGATAGAACAAGAAAAAGCATTCATTCTGCACTTAAAAATTTACCAAGTATGAAAGTCGTAATTTTATGTTGATATACAGACATGGGTCTTTGCCATTGTTGTTGAAAATGAACACAGCAAAATATCTACCAATTCAAACAATTTCTACATGAAACATACAGTAACACTGATTACATTCTTCACATTGTGTAGACATACTCACTTTTTCAGATATGTGCCTTCTTTGTAGACATGTTTGGGAGTGTAGTGGCTCCACAGGATAAGCATTGGACCATGAACCACAAGGTTGGAGGTTTGAGCCCACCAGTTGCTCCCACAAAACTATTTTTTTAAGTCTTGGAAACCCTATACAGGGTTGCTATGAGTCAAAACTGACTCCAAGTCACTTTAACAACAACACTGATGTACTCTCTTTTCTCTCGGCTTCCTAGCTAACATTTGGAGTTGCTGTTAGCAAATTAATCCCATATAGTAAATACAGACATGCATCTATTTAAAACAAATTTTTGTTAACAAAACTATTTTGAAACCTATAGCAAAAGTAACTATTACTAATGGCATGTTAGAGACTTGGTGTAGCACTGTAGAATAAGCACTAGACTGCTAACCACATGGTCAGTGGTTCAAACACACCAGTCACTCCTTGGAACCTCTGTACAGGGTTGCTATGAGTTGGAACTAACTCAACAGCACTTAACAAGTAACAATGGCATGTTGCGAATAGTTACAAATATATGGCATTCAGTGCATATTCACTCAGTTTCCTGTGAATCACAGACTCCTGTCCAGTCATCCCAATGGATTATAGCTCTAAAGAGTTATAATTTAATTGATGGTAGTGGTGTGCTGTGGAGTCAGTTCCAACTCATAAAGATCCTGCATAGGGTTTCTGAGACTATAAATCTTTACAGGAGCAGAAAGTCTCTCATTTTTCTCCCATGGAACAGTTGGTAGTTTCAAACTGCTGACCTTGAAGTTAGCAGCCTGACTTGTAGCCACTACACTACTGAGGAAAACAGATATCTGACCTAAACCTTGCCTGCTGTTTTGAATGTGTATGTCCTGCTAGGAGTGACTGACTACAAGGCTCTCTCACATTTCCATGCTGCTTCACATGAACTAAACTCTATCCCTTAAAACTTCTTGTTCCTCAAATACATCATACCCTTTCTAACTTCCATATGTTTACTTGGGTCAGGCATTTTTCTGAAGTGAAATTCTACTTGGCAAGTAAATGTAAATTTCTGCTTCTGAGTCACTTCCTCTGGAAAGAATCTGATGACCCAGTCAGAAATCCTTCTTGTGAATTCAAGTCTCCTCATCTTGAACGCTGTTCTTACTATGTGTACCCCAGAGCACCTAGAAAAGGACTTGGCCCGCTCTCAAGAATGCTGAAGACAGAATCCTTGCCCTGGATAAAAAGTAGCAATAGATAAGTGAATTTAGGTGTCTTTCTCTAATTTTTATTCCAATGAAATTTTTGAAAATATTGTTTAGAATCTTTCCCTTTAGTTCTGACTTTGAGGAAGAAGTTTTCATATCATCTCTAACAACAACTTTTAGGAGAGTTAGTGAAAGGTCTATGAAGACAAACTAAGTCTGAGCTAACTCTCTCAGGATGTGTTTGTACTCTGTTCAGACACTAATCTTGTTTTTGTTCTTGTTAGCTGGTAACAATATGTTAAAATTCACAAGATTCCTGGTAGATTAACACAAGTTTAATTTTTTTTTTTTTTATGAAGGGAGAAAAATCTTGAGTTATGATTAATGAAGTTAATTGTTCTCATATAACATTCCTTATTATAGTTCAAATGAAGTAAATATTGACGAAATATTTTCAAAAAAATTACCAGTTTATACAGAAAAACTGGGAAATTAAAGGTAACATTTATGGGTTGGGAAAAATCCCTGGATAAATTATTTCTACAAAAAAAACTTTCCACTAAAATAATTAGTTGAGAGGCCCAGAATATTTTCCAATACAGATTAAGGATTATAGTTGTTGGTGTGATGCTGTGGCATAATGCATTGGACCACAAGGTCAGTTTGAACTGTAAGGTCGGCAGTTCAAATTCACCAGCTGCTCCCTCGGAAACCCTATACAAGGTTGCTATGAGTCTGAACCAACTCCAAGGCACTTAACAACAACAATCAGCATTCTAATACTCTTGTATAATACTGCACGATTTATTGAAGAGCAAAAAGCTATAAGAAAAATACTACAAGTGGATTGCTTCAACAAATTTATTCTTTTAGTTTAGGTCCTTGTCTTTTTTCAGTATCTGTGCAGCCAGCATCCCTTGGAGGTCACCACATGTCTTGGTGTCCATCTTCCCGTGGGCTTTGCTCCCAGCTCTTCTTTCTCAGTAGGAGCCAGGTTCCTCCTCCTCTGCTTGCCTCTTTATCCTGTGATTGCTTGTAAGATCAAATGTAGATCCTAGCACACCCCAGGGAACCTTGCCATAAATTGAATCAAGGTTGTGATCTGAGTAAGAGTGTTGCATTCCACCCTAATCTCCTTAATGACCGATTATCTGATCACATCAGATCATATTATGGAAGATGATGACATCACTATATAACAGCCAAACCAATGAGAATTGCAGCCCCACCAACTTGACATATTTTAGAGAGATACAATTCAATGCACGAAGAAGGACAGGAAAAGACGTGTTTCCCGTAAGCTTTTACAACTATCTGAGAATCCATTTGGACTGCACAAGTAAAAATTAATCTTTTGTATTTCCTAAACCTCCCACAGTATTTAATAGGCAACAATTGCATCCTCTTATTTATCCATATTTTTGAAATGCTCCCAAAACACAATGTCTCTAAGTCTTCATGAAGATATCTCTACCACAAAGAGAAAATGCCTAGCTTTTTCCTTATGGTTTTTTATTTTCTTAACAGAGTTGGTGACCGTAATTTCAAGAAAATGTATTTGTCTACCCAACTAAAACATTTCAGTAACCTGGTGATATCATTCAAACAGCATAACTGATAGAATCATGACATTTTAATATTTGAAAAAGTCCATGGCCCTGTAGTAAAACATGAGCTCACAGGTCAAACGAAGAAACAATGGTAGAGCTGCATCTACTAAGGAAGTATTGTGGCATTGTTTTGTATATTATGATCCATTAATGTATCATTAAATCAGTTTAATGAAGTATGATTAGTATTTTCTTTTAAATGGCATAGAACAAAATAGAATGAATTACATTAAACTCAGTAGAAAATATTTGAGTGCACTGCACATAGTAAGGGAAAGTCTCAGCTCATAAAGCCTTAGTTTCAGTAATGAGCATACATATATACATACACACATATATACGTGCGTGGGGGCCCTGGTGTAGTGCATTGGTTAAGTGCTCAGTTGTTAACCAAAAGGTTGGCAATTTGAACCCATTTTAAAGGAGAATGATACGGCAGTCTGCTGCTTTAGAGATTATAGGCTTGGAAACCCTATAGGGCAGTTCTACTCTATCCTATAAAGTTTCTATGAGTTGGAATCAACTCAACAGCATATACAGTGTGGGTATGTACATATATGTGTGTGTGTGTGTGTATCTACATATACACAACTACATAAAATATATTTTTTTGGTGGGGTCACAATCTGAAATATATTTTTTACTATGTTGTTATTGTTACTAGGTACCATCAGGTCAGTTACAACTCATAACGACCCTATGTATAACAGAACAAAACAGTGTCTTGTCTTGTGTCAGCCTCACAATTGTTGCTGTGTTTAAGCTCATTGTTGCAACCATGTGTCAATCCATCTCACTGAAGGTCATTCTTTTTTTCACTGAACCTCTACCAGCCATGATGGCTTTTTCCTGGGACTCCTGATGACATGTCCAAAGTACATGAGACAAGTCCTGCTTTTAAGGAGCATTCTGGCTATACTTCTTCCAACTTTGTTCTTTTGACCTTCCATAGTTTATTTAATATTCTTCTCTAATACTGAAATTCAAAGGCATTAATTCTCCTTCAGTTTTCCTTATTCATTGTATAGATTTCACGTACCTATGAGGCAACTGAAAGTATTATGGCTTGGGTCAGGTGCACCTTAGTCCTCAAGGTGACATCTTTGTTTTTTTTTAACACTTTGTAGAGATCTTTTGTAGCAGATTTCCCAACACACTATGTTATTTGATTTCTTGACTGCTGCTTCCATGGGCACTGATTGTGGCTCTAAGTAAAATGAAGTAATTGGCAACTTCGATATCATCTCTGCTTGTCATGGTGCTACTCATTGGTCCAGTTGTGAGGACTTTTGTTTTCTGTATGTTGAGGTGTCATGCATAGTGACAATGGTAGTATTTGATCTTCAAGTTAATACTTCAAGTGCTCATTGTTTTCAGCAAGTTACACTGTGTCATCAAATATTGCAGATTTTTAATGCGTCTTCCTCCAATCCCGGTGCTTCATTCTTCTTTATATAGTCCAACTTCTCAGATTATTTGCTTATCATGCAGTTGATTGTTCACCATACATTCTTACTATGAGTAGTAATTAAAACGTTTTACACTAGAAGACAACTAGTTGCCTTTCCAAAATATCATACTATCTATGTAGCATGACTAAAGGAACTCTGGTAGCGTAGTGGTTACAAATCGGGCTGTGAACCGCAAGGTCAGCAGTTCAAAACTCCCAGCTGTTCTGTGGGAGAAAGTGAGGCTTTCTGCTCCCGTAAAGATATACAGCCTCGGAAACCCTGTACAGGGTCACTATGAGTCAGAACAGACTCCACAGCACATAACAACAATATGCAGCATGACTTAGTAGCCTCACACAAATAAAATGAAGTCTTTAGAAACTCTGTGGATAGATTTCTTACTTTTACAACAGCCTAATTATTTGATTATGGTATGTTGTTGTTAAGTGCAGTTGAGTTGGTTCCAACGCATAGCGATCCTGTATAGTGTTTCCGAGGAGCGGTTGGTGAGCTTGAACCAATGACCTTGTGGTTCACACGACTTTGCAGTCCAGCATATTAACCCATAGCACCACACCAGGGCTCTGATTATAGTATAGTACAGCAATAATTTGACAAGTGCTAGGAAGAAGACCAGATTGGTAGTGTAGTGGTTATGAATCGGGCTGCTAACCTCAGGGTCAGCAGTTTGAAACTACCAGCTGTTTTGCGGGAGAAAGATGAGGCTCTCTCTTCATGTTAAGATTTACAGCCTCGGAAACCCCATGCAGGGTCACTATGAGTCGGAACCAATTCCACCACTACCAGGAAGAAGACAAAGCAAATCAGTGATGCTGTCATCAGAAGTCTACCATCAGGGTAAGTAAAAATGTTGCTACTGGGTTCTAGTTCATACATGTATGAGTTTATTCCAAACACAGCATGTTGAAACCTGTCTCTGAGATCATGGATGGTTGCAGACAAGTTATCTCAGTAATATATTTGAGTACTTGAGTATCCTTAAAATGTCTTTAAAAACAAGGGAGGTAGGCAAGAGCTAAAGGGGATTGAAGTAAATAGTGTGATATACACAATCTTGGTGCTACAATGTTCTGTGGGTAGATATATGGATAGGGACACAGGCTGAATGGGTTTGGGGGGAAGAGTATACCCACAAATATATAAGGGTTTGAAGGAAGGTGTTCGTACATGGGTATTTACCTTTGTTGCAAACACATCTATAAATGTGATAGAGCTTCCAGAGGGAAAAGTAATGAAAACTTCTTAGATATTATCAAACATGTCGGGGACTCAGAACCATAATCTCAGGGGACATCATGGCCAACTGGCATAACATAGTCCACAAAGACAATGTTCTACATTCTACTTGGGTGGACAACTGTCTGGGATCTTAAAAGCTTATGAGTGGCCATCTAAAGTGAAATTATTGGTCACTTTATGTGTAAAAAATAGTGAATGAATGGGGAAGTGGTGAGGCTTTTCAAAAGATTTGGATCTCTCTACCCATTCCATTTAGCTATGTTGTTGTTAAGTGTTCCTCAGTTGGCTCTCATAAGGAGCCTGTATAGGGTTTCGGAGGAGTGGCTGGTGAGTTTGAACTGCCAGCCACGTGGTTCAAACTGGCCTTGTGGTCCAGTGCTTATCTTAAAGTGCCACACCAGAAATGTCCAATTTCCCCATCAAGATCCTTTTGTTGCCAGTTTCACTGGTGGCAACATTTATTTACCAACTACCTTAATGTAATGATGTTTACCAAAAGAATAATTTGATGAGAACTCGAGATCCATTTTTCATATTTAAATAAAATATAAAATTATTAGCAAATTGATCAATTAATCCCTTTTGAGTAGAAAGACCTCCTTGTTGTCATAAAATAGAGACATTTTAGACAATGTTCACAATATCAACAAGAGAACTGTTTTGAAATAAAGTAGTAACCTGGTGCTTGGCAGTTAAAGACATTTGGAGCAAAAAAGCATTTTCCTGTTTCTTCAGCAATCAAGGCATAGTCCACATGGCTGAGTCCACTTAGAGCTGGCAGAAACAGGTTCCAAAGGCCCTCGGCTTTGGCCATTTCCTGTTAAGGTGACGAAGATACCAGAGTGATCATAATTTAGGATTATCACTAAAATAGTTCACTGTCAAAATGTATTAGTATTTACAATCTTTTTAGAAATCTAAAATATCTGATTATTTTAAATTCAAAATCAACTGATTAGTAATTTTCTATAAATCAACAGTTAAGTGTAAAAGAAAAGCGTTTTCCACTAAGCTTCCTTAGATTTGGCTGAAAAACTGAATTTGCTTACTTGAGTACTTCCTATTTAATTAATTGTAGCCTTTACAAAAATCTCCCACATTTGGGTATAATCAAGCCAAATGTACTACTCTGTGCCATTCAATTCCTCACATTTGTTGTTGTTACAATTTGAAAACATGAAATTTGGATTAAGACCACATGGGCAAAGAGCCCTGCCTTGACATTCACTTCGATTTAGAAACAGCTGGTGGTAAGTAGCATTGCTCTTTTTTCCCTTTGAACAGCTGGAGGAAGCTGTCTTCATCACTTACCGTATAAAGAACGCTAGGCTCATTTTTACATTACAGATTCTATTTTAAACTTACTTTAAAAATGTTTTCACTGATACAACTGTGCTGTTGTTGTTGTGGACTCTTGAATTATTTGCCCTTGAGTTGGCTCCCAGTGACCTCTGCGACGGAGTAGAACTACCCCATAGGGTAGCCTAGGTTGTAGTCTTCAAAGGAGGAGATTGCCAGGTTTTTCCTACTCTAGAGCCACTGGTGGGTTTAAACTGCTCACCTTTCAGTTAGCAGCTGAGCACTTAACATTGTGCCACTAAGACTCCTCACTCACATAGTTGTCCTCTACGTATGTAAGAAGAAGAAGGTAAATATATTTACTTGCATATAAATTTTCCAGTGGTAAACATTTTCTTAATTTCTTACCTTAAGTTTATCAATCACTAAAGGTGTTTTCCACTTATCCACAGAATTTCCATTTTGAACATAGAACTCAATTACCTCCTTTAAGTAATAAAAGGGAGAGAAAAAAAAGTAATTAGGTAAAGGCAATATAAATTACATACTGATACTGTCATAAATTGCTAATAACCAAGTAAACGTTTTTAGGTAAAGAAGTATTCCAGATGCTATCAAATCTGTAATATATCTTTCTTTCTTCCTTCCTTCCTCCCTCCCTTCCTCCTTCCATCCCTTCCTTCCTTTACTCTCTCTCGTTCTTTCTTTTAAAAAGGTACAAAAAACCATAAAAAAAAAAAAAAGGTGCAAAAGCCTATAAAATTCTAAAGGTTCATTGTTACCAAACTATGCTGAGTCTGTATTAGACAATACTGAAAAAAAAAAAAAAAAAAAACCCCAAATCAATTGCCATCTAATTGATTGTGGCTTAACCCTTACAGTGTTCTCAAGACTAAATCTTTACAGCAGTAGACAACCTAATCTTTCTCCTGTGGAGTGGCTGGTGAATCTGAACCTCCAGCTCTGTGGTTAGCAGTCCAATACTTATCCTATAGCACCACCAGGATGCCTTTGGATTAGACAATGTTGTTGTTAAGTGCCATCTAGTCAGTTCCGACCCATAGCAACCCTGTGTAGGGCTTCCTAGGAACGACTGGTGAGCTTGAACTGCCAGCCTTACAGTTCAAAGGGCTTTGCAGTTTGGCGCATTAGCCCGCAGCACCTCATCGTCTTATACTAAGATTTGAGTCTTGCATTTTCAGTAGTATGGTATACTAGATATTCACAGAACCTCTCCCAAAACATTCTGATTAAAAATGCTAGATCAAATATTTAAAAATCATTTTATAAAGACCAAATATATGTAGAAATGCTTAGCTGATTAGGGAGTTCCAGAGTGGTCAGGAAGTAAAAATCCTGACTGTTCAGTGTGAGTGTACCCTGGAGCTAAGTTTATCTGGAGGATGGACCAATGCTAGTGTAGGCTCTGGGCTTCAATGACTCATATATAGGCAGGGGTCAGAAGACAAGACCAAATGTCCCAAACAGGGCTAGACAGTGGATCAGAGACTACCACCACAATTCCACCACAAACACCCAAACCCTGACATAAAGTCAGGGCACTAGAAGGGTGAAACTTAAGAAAAAATAGGAAAACAACTATCCCTCATGAGGATATGTTAGTGGTGCTATTAAATGCCCCCAAGGTAGTTCTGATTCATAGTGACCCTGTATAGGACTTCCAAGACTGTAAATCTTTTGGGGAGCAGAAACCCTCATGTTTCTCCCGAGGAGTGGTTGATGGACTTGAACGCTGACCTTATGGTTAGTAGTCCAGTACTTATTCTACAGAGCTACTAGTGCTCTGTGGGATGTTGTTGTTAACTGCCATGGAGTCTGTTCTGACTCATAGCAACCCTGTACACGGTTTCCAAGGAGTGGCTTATGGGTTTGAATCACTGATTTTGTGATTAGCAATCCAATGCTGATCCTACAGTGCCACACCAGTACTCCATTCCAGCTAAAATACTCACTTGGGTGGGGACACTGGGAAGAAGTTTGTCTTTGGGCTTCAAGTCTTGAATGAGCAATGCTGGTTTTTATACCACCCTCGATGAAATGACATACACTATGGTAATTATGGTAGTACCTAAGAGGCGAATATTTTTGCTTAAGAATCACATAGAAATCATTCTAGTCCAACTCCCTGACTTTGGACTAGAAATCGTCCTCTATTTCCCCAGTGCTCAAGAGTGTCTCACATGCATACAATTTTTGGGCAATGTGGAAGGCTAAAATTTCACACCCAGAGAGATCCAGGTCCCTATCCTAGGACTGTGAATGCTACCTATGTGGCAACTGCAGATGGGACTAAGGGGAAATTAATCACATCTGTAGTTGAAATTCTCCTCGAAATGGGTAAATTATCCTGTATCATCTAGGTGGAGATGATGTAATCACAAGGTGGAGGGAGGAATTCAGAGAGGAAGTAGGAGATGTGATGAAACAAGCATGTGATGTGAAGAAGGAGTCATAAATCAAGGAATGTAGGTAGCTTCCAGAAGCTGGAAAAAGCAAGGGACAAATTATTTCCTAGAACTTCCAGAAGGAATCAGCCTTGCTAATTGTTGTTGTTAGGTGCCATCGAGTTGGTACCGACTCATAGTGACCTTATGCACAGAATGAAACACTGTTTAATCATGGGTCAACCTCACTATTGTTGCCACGCTTGAGCCCATTGATTCTGCCAATCCATCTCACTGGTGGGGAGGGGGGTGGTTCTTCCTCTTTTTCTCTGATCCTCCATCTTACCAAAATGATATCCTTCTCCAGCGACTGGTTCCTCCTTACAGTATGTCTGAAGTATGAGAGATGAAGTTTGGTCATCCTGGCCTCCAAAGAGCACTCTGGCTGCACTTCTTCCAACACAGATCTGTTGGTTCTATAGGCAGCCCATGGCACTTTCAATATTCTCCTCCAACACCATAACTAAAAAGAATCAATTCTTCTACGGTCTTCCTTATTTACTGTCCAGCTTTCACATTCATATGAGGTTATTGAAAACACCATGGCTTGGGTCAGGTGCCCTAGTCCTCAAGCTGACATCTTTGATCTTCAACACTTTAAAAAGGTCTTGTGCAGCAGACTTGCCTAATGCAATGCATCATCTGATTTCTTGACTGCTGCTTCGGTGAGTGTTGATAGTTAATCCAAGAAGAATGAAGTCCTTGACAACTTCAATCATTTCTCCGCTGTTAAGAATGTTGTTTATTGGTTCAGTGGTGAGGATTTTTTAATTTTCTTGACATCGAGATGCAATCCATACTGAAGGCTGTGCTCTTTGATATTCATCAGTAAATATTTTAAGTCTTCTTCACTTTCGGCAAGCAAGGTTGTATCATCTGCATAGCGCAGATGGTTAATGAGTCTTCCTCCAATCCTGATGCCACGTTTTTTTCATATAACCCAGCTTCTTGGATTATTTCTTCAGCATACAGGTTGAATAAGTATGGTGAAAGAATACAAACCTGTCACACACCTTTCTTACTTTTAAACCATTCAGTGTTCCCCATGTTCAGTTCGAACAACTGACTCTTGGTCCATGTACAGATTCCTCACGAGCACAATTAAATGTTCCAGAATACTCGTACTTCGCAATGTTGTCCATAGCTTGTCACGATTCACACAATCGAAAGCCTTTGTGTAGTCGATAAAGCACAGGTAAACATCTTTCTGATATTCTCTCCTTTTAGCCAAGAGCCATCAGACATCAGCAATGATATCCCTTGTTCCACGGCCTCTTCTGAATCCAGCTTTAATACCATGACGTTAGCTTATTGAAACTGATCTGACACTTCTGGCTTTCACAATTATTGGGAAATAGTTTGTATTGTTTTTAAGTTACCAAGTTTGTGGTAATTTCTTACAACAGTAATTGAAAACTAAGTCAGGCTATATGTTTCCTCTTGACAAACATTATTTACTCTACATTTAATTTCAGGCCAACAGTCTAAGAATACAGGAATGGTTATAGACAAATAATCAATTAGATCTTGGGTAACTAAGTATCAATTAAATTTTGAGGCTTAACAAATAAAACTCAAAACAATAAGCATTTATTTAGCTGACAGTTTTTCAGGTCATAGATATAGGCTAGGCCCATGGGGATAAAGGCAATTATGTTGTTGTTGTTGTTGTTAAGCGCTGTCGAGTTGGTTCCTGTATAGGGTTTGTGGTTCAAACCAATTTTGCAGTCCAGTGCAACAAATATGTATATATAGAATGGTAAACACCAGTAGCGTGGTGGTTACGAATCAGGCTGTGAACCGTAAAGTCAACAGTTTGAAACTACCCAATGTTCCATGGGAGAAAGCTGAGGCTTTCTGCTCCAGTAAAGATTCACAGTCTTGGAAACCCTGTACAGGGTCGCTATGAGTTGGAACCAACTCCAAGGCACATATTCACCACTATATATATATATATACATAATTTTTATTTATTTATTTTTTTTTTCCTTTCATTCTAAATTTAAGTTTGCTGTTACTCAAGTTTGGGATCTGAATTCAAAGACCTTTGGGGCCCTCAACTTCAAGCTAAAAAGTAAGTTTACAATGTTTCTGTGTATAGTACTGTGACAACAGGCAGCTGGCAGAAGCAACAGTATGTCCTTTGTGGAGAAAGGCTTTTAAACAAAAGCCTCAGATAATCCTTGCAGATAAAATTCCATTCCTAAGAGCATGAGTTCAGGAAAAACTACTAAACACTCAAGGAAATAAATCACCTTAAGCAAAAATTAGCTGTGGGATAAAGCATTGGACCGCAAAGTCAGTTTGAACCAAACTTACCAGCCACTCTTTGGAAACCTAGAGTTGCTGTGATTTGCAACTGACTCGAAGGCACTTAACAACACTATAGATTGGTCAGATACAGAAAATAAAATATTTATATTCTATAGATCTCAAGAATAAAGGAAGGAATTAAAAGTATGAGAAGAGGCTACCAAAGCTGACCAGGTGAATTTGAAAAAGAAACATGCATCCCTAGAAGAATACAAATTATAGTAATTAAACAGAAACCAAAAAGATCCCCTGAAGTTTTCTGAAAACCAAACAGTAGTTTCGCTTGAGTAGTGAAAATTGTCTGCTTTGAGCATTATGGTCTTTTATGAATGATCTATGTGGGATCGGTCTGATAACAGCAACTTGAAAGATGAGCAAGGAACCTTAGGGGCAGTGAGTGTGTGTCAGCCAGGGAGGACCAACTCAGACAAGGAGGATGAGAATGGTGGATTGTACATGTAGACACTGCTGAACTGCTGTACATTTTGCTGTGTATATTCTCAACAACAACAAAGTAAACCAATGATTCAAAAAATAACATGTTGGAAAAAATCTATTGCCAGAAAGATCACAACTATGACTTCTGAATTATCCAGCTTTGGGATTTCTTTTCAGCCTTTCCTCTCTGATGCTAATGTAAATAAACTTGATTGCACAGTAAACAAACAAACAAACTCTGTGGTATTGCTGTTAAGTGCTGTCGAGTTG